CCCTTCAGTTTCTCAAATGCCTCCTCGCTAGCCTTGGTCCATGTGAATCCTCCTTTCTTGGTCATCTCCGTAAGTGGCTTGGCAATAGTTTCATAATTCTTCACAAACTTTTGGTAATAGCCCGTGAGCACTAGAAACCCTCTCAGTTGCGTGAGACTCGTCGGCTTTGGCCAGTCGACCCTAGCCTCTATCTTTCGTGGATCAATCGTCACGCCATTATGAGATATAAAGTGGCCTAAGTACTCGACCATCTCTTGCCCGAATGAACACTTGGACGGCTTGATATGGAACGAGTTAGCCTCTAAGACTTCGAGCACCACTCTCAAATGCTCCAGATGTTCAGCCCACGACTTTGAATATACCAGTATATCATCAAAGAAGACTAGAAAAAACTTACGTAGATGCTCCTTAAAGATGAAATTCATAGAAAACTGGAAAGTGGATGGGGCGTTGCATAGCCCGAATGGCATCACCAAATACTCATAGTGTCCCTGATGCGTACGAAAAGCTGTCTTCGGTATGTCGGCTTTGTGGAGCCGAATCTGATGATAATCAGCTCTCAGATCGAGCTTCGAGAAGTAACGAGATCCAGCTAACTAGTCGAGCATGTCGTCGACACTAAGAATAGGAAATCGATCATTAATAGTCGCGGCATTCAGAGCTCGATAATCAGTACAAAACCTCCACGTGCCATCCTTTTTTTTAGCTAACAGTACCGGTGAAGAAAACGGACTCTTGCTATGCTGAATTAACCCCGATTCTAGCATCTCAGCCACTTGCCTCTCAATCTCAGTTTTCTGGAAGTGAGCGTACCTATAGGGATGGACATGCACTGCATGCTGCTCATTAATCAGGGGTATGCGGTGGTCGAACTCCCAGTGAGGTGGTAAGCCCTTGGGTTCACCTAGCACTCCTTCGAATCCCTTAAGAAGCTCGCACATGTTGGCTTGCTGCTGTCCGGCCTCTTTCGTGTGTGGCTCCCTACTTTCGACTACTACCGCGAATATTTGACCACCACTTCGCCATACTCTTTCGATACTCTTCAACCTAACTTCTTTAGTTCCTTTCTCAGTGCCGGTGCTCAGGGTGACTTGCCGACCTCCAGATTGGTGATGGGCTTGGACTTGTAAGCAAGCAAGAACTCCATAACTCAAGTTCGGTAGTCGGTGGTCACCTTGCCTAATCCTTTGAGCCATTGGACTCCTAGCACAACACCAGGTCCAACTAGAGGTAAAGCATAAAGATCAACCTTTACCGTAACTCCTTGGAATTTGATTGGCACCTTCCGAAAGGATTCAGTGCATTGCAGCCTTTCACCATTAGTGACTCGTACCTCAAAAGGCTCAATCTTCGTGGTTGGTAAATTCAGCTTCTGGGACAAGTCAGCATTAATGAAATTGTGTGATGACCCGTTGTCTACGAGAACCGTCACCCTACGATCCTTGACCCAAGCTGGCAATTGCATTGTCCTTGGCCTTTAATCCCTGCCATTGCGTGCATCGAAATTTCTGCTTCTTCGTCAGGCACTTTAACCTCATCCTCCTGAGGTGGTTCTTCCTCGACCTCAGATCCTTTCTCATCAGAATTAGCAACTTCAATCACAAAAGCTTGCTTACATTAATAGTCTGGCGTAAATTTCTCTTCGCATTTGAAACATGGGCCCTTCTCTCGTCGACGCTTGACTTCCTAGGTAGATAGCCGCCTGACTACTGGCCCCGGTGGTCGAGCGCTGATGGCCGGTCGTGCGCCTGTGGTTGCATGGATCGGGCCCGTGCGTCAGTTATCGGTGAATCGACCGTCCGCCCGTCCCCTCCGTGTTGCTATTAGATGGTCTTCGCGACGTCGGGCTATCTACATGGCTGTGTGCATCGTGTCCGGCCGCTCCAGTCAGATTTCTGCGGCTAGATCGAACTTCAGCCCACCTATGAAGGCTCCCACCACTGCATCCTCGGACCAATCTAGCACGCGGATGGCTATGCTTTCAAACTCCTTGATGTAATCGCGTAAGCTGCCCGTCTGGCGTATACGTGCGAGAGCCTCGTTGTAGTTATGGTAATTGGACTTACCAAAGCGTGTGAGCAACTCCCTCTCAAAGTCGGCCCATGTGATGATCTGCTGCCGCTTACGGTAGATCCTTGAGAGCCATTGCCACCATACATTGGCCTCACCATCAACATAGAATGTTGCGTACCTTACTCGGTCATGGCCTTCAGTTTTGTTGAGTATGAAGTATTGTGCAATACGGTTGAGCCAAGCCT